GCCCAGGAGCCCCAATAAGTTGTCATCTTGTATCATAATCATTGAGGTTAGCTTGACAAAATTGGATTTCAACTGGACGAAACACCACCATCTTTTTCCACTTGCAAGTGATTTTAATGTGTGTTGGTGTCGGTGTTCAGTGTCCACATTTCGGCGAAGGCTGTTATAATTGACACTTGTCGCTCCAATTTGTTGAGTGATAGGCTATTATTTTGCTTGTAAAATATTTGTGTTTTTGGTTATGTTCATAATCATTAAATTTTGTAGTCTCAGGCGATGTATACAATGGTTTTAAAAAATTTTTTTTTACGTTTGTTTAGTTTCTGTTGAACTTATATTTTGGGTTCTGTCTGTCAGTGTGTCCATATGTTCATTTCTCAGACATGCCTGAACTGATTTTGTTCAAAGCTAGTACAAAGACAAGTCATAAAACAAGACATACGTATGTTGATTACTTTTTTCATTCTGTTGAACATTGCTTGATTGGTGGCAATTTTATCTCCTGAAAACTTTAAAAAAATCAACATTTCAACATGTTAAATAGCATTCCTTGACTGATTGCATTCAAACTTTCTATCAACGTCATCCACGATGGGTTACTGATTGGGTCAGTTAATTTGAAATGGCTGATTGGTAGCCATTTTATTTTTTGCAAATGTGCCAGCCATTTCACAGCTACACTTTTACAAATTTGATTTAAATTTGGTACAAAGTCAAGATGTGATTGGTTGGATACTGTCTTCATTTAGCTAGTCCTTTCAAGGAAAAAAATTTGGTGGCCATTCTTCTAAAAAATAACAAATGAATAAATAAATCAAATGACAAAATTGAACATGTCATCAACTGTTTCTCAAGCCTGCCTGAGCCCATTGTATTCAAACTTTAGGGTGTGGACATCACACATGCTAGAATACTGATGCACATAAGTTTTTTTTTTCTGATTTGATTTAAAGTGTTTGACTGCATAATGGCCATTTTGGTTTTATTTTTTATTTGTTCTCAACCATGATTTGATGACAGATTTTTTACAAATGTACCTTTTAGCAAGACAGGATATTTTGGATTGTTGTACACTCTCTGTGAATAAAATAATTGAATGTTCACAAAAATACTGACACATTTTCACCTGTTGCAGGCTTTCCAAAAGTGTAGCTTTGTACCAAAATAGGACCCTCTTTATATGCAAGTGTTATGCTCAGATGTTCAGTGTATACATGCCAATTTTACGATTTTTGACTCCCATGTGCGAAGCACATAATGGGAGTCGTTGCAGTTAGTGTGTCTGTGTGTGTGTGTGTGTGTGTGTGTGTGTGTGTGTGTGTATGTGTGTATGTGTGTCCGACTGTTCCACTGCTATCTCAAGAACCATACATCGGTTTTTGTTGAAACTTGGTGCATAGATGCTCTGGGCCAATGCGTAGATTTGAGTAGGTTTTGGTAAAAATCCATGCTCGTTAATTAGCTAATTTTTAGCTGTTCTATGACTGTTCCACTGATATCTAAAGAACCACTCATTGGATTTTGATGAAACTTGGTACATATATGCTCTGAATATATGCGCAGATTTGATTAGTTTTTGGTAAAAATCCGTGCATATTAATTACCTAATTTGCATGATAATTAGCTATTTTTGACTCCCATGTGCGAAGCACAAAATGGGAGTCTTTGCAGTTAGTGTGTCTGTATGTGTGTATGTGTGTATGTGTGTATGTGTGTATGTGTGTATGTGTGTATGTGTGTATGTGTGTATGTGTGTATGTGTGTGTGTATGTGTGTATGTGTGTCCGACTGTTCCACTGCTATCTCAAGAACCATACATCGGTTTTTGATGAAACTTGGTGCATAGATGCTCTGGGCCAATGCGCAGATTTGATTAGGTTTTGGTAAAAATCCATGCTCGTTAATTACCTAATTTGCATGATAATTAGCTAATTTTTAGCTGTTCTATGACTGTTCCACTGATATCTAAAGAACCACTCATTGGATTTTGATGAAACTTGGTACATAGATGCTCTGAACATATGCGCAGATTTGATTAATTTTTGGTAAAAATCCGTGCATATTAATTACCTAATTTGCATGATAATTAGCTATTTTTTAGTGGTTCCATGACTGTTCCACTGATATCTAAACAACCACTCATTGGATTTTGATGAAACTTTGTACATAGATGCTCTGAACTAATGCTAGGTTTTGATTAGTTTTTGGTAATAATCCGTGGATACTAATTACCTAATTTGCATAATGATTAGTCAATTTTCGGTTTTTCCACTGATATCTCAAGTACTAATCATCACATTTCAATGAAACTTGGTACATAGATGTCATATGACACTGCACAGACCTAATAGTGTTTAGGGTAATATCAGTACATATTAATTACCTAATTTGCATAATTAATTAATTTTCAGCTTTTGATATTTCGAGTAGTAATGATCACATTTCAATGAAACTTGGTACATAGTTACTTGAGGACTATGCAGAGACCTGATTAATTTTGGGATAAATAATTGTACCTATTAATTACCTA